GTATTAGTATGGTGTTCCTAACAATCCTTTAGGTGAGTGTAGAATGGTCTCAGTTTTTTCCAGAGCTGTATGTCTGAGGCGGTCAATCCCAACACCTCAGACCCATTACTCAAATCATTACTTTGATTATAATTATTTATTACAAAAAAATATATTTTGGAAAGTCACTTGAATGTGCTCAATGTTACCATACCATTAGCTTTGATGACATGTGGCTACAGTTCACAAATTTGCAAAATCGTATGCTAAACCTCAGTCCTGTTACTTTCAATCTTGTTATTCACTTAAAGCAGCGGTGGCCAATCTTATCCGCAAAGGGCCAGCGTGTATGCAGGTTTCTGGGATAACCTTTAGGTCAGCTGCCAGGTGTGAGGACTTTTCAGTCAATCAGTCCTCTAATTAGTAATCTAATTAGGGAGCTGCGGCGAAAACCCACATACACACCAGCCCTTTGTGGATAAGATTGGCCACCCCAGACTTAAAGAGTAACAGGACTGAAAAACAGCATGAGTGAAAAGACTGGATATAATAACCAATTTACTGAAGGTGTTGGCATTAAAAATCAATTTTACAATGTGAAAAATTATTTTCAGGGAGCCAACCCATCACTAGTGCTGCAGAGAAGCAGCACAGCGACATGATGCTGATCCAGAGTGGAGGGAGAAATACCTAGACAGAAAAAGTCAGAAATACAGGCAGGACCTAGCATCAGGTAGAAAAAAAGACAATAAATGAAACTAGAGTAAAAAGTTCAGACAGAAGAAAAAAATGGAGGAAGACTAGGCGGACCCATTCAAAGACAAACCACAAGGTCAAGTCTGTAGCAGTAAAAAGCTGGAAACTTAAAATTTAAGTCTCTTGACAACTTTTTGTTTCTTTCTCACACATTTCTATTTGCTCTGTACTCATACTTGTTACTGCTTTTAAATAATGTTAGAGCATTTATCTCAGTTATGATTCATCATGTATGAAATGGTTTAATAAATCACATGATGATTTATTGATAACACGGAGATTAGGATTCCATAAAAAAAAATTAAATGGATTTTTTTTTCAGAAAAGTTTACATGCAAGTTTAAGATTTTTCTTAACCATGAATTTCTTTTGAACATGTAACTATTTTTTTTAAATACACACCGTTTGAGGGGAATGCAAAAGAGCTAGTTGGCATGATTTTCAAATGATATTTAAACAATTGCATAAGGTTTGGGTAACAGGACTGAGGAAAATGCAACCATCGTCCAATTTAAAAACCATCTAAAAAATAAAATAAGTTGCCTGAAATTGACCAATGCACATATTGAATAGCTAAATGTGTGTCATTGGATTTGGCGTTGAAAATATGAATCATGACATGCAAATGGAACCCATTTGATGGAATCACCCATAAACAAAAGCCAAAAACATGATATAAAGACCCAAAAAATATAAACTACAAAAGACGACTTAGTCATGGTGAAAATGTTAATGGT